GAAAACGCGGCACGGGGCCATTTCGGGTCCGTTTTGAAGCCGCAGAACAGCTGTTTTGCGGCTTCAAAACGGCCGCGGGCAACCCGAAATGGCCCCGCACGGCGTTTTCGCGCCCTCAGCAAGCGAGGGGAGGGCGCGAAAATGGCTGCCCGGGGCCAGGAAACTTCTTTAAGTGGGAAGTTTAGGGCCGATTTGGAACGCATTAAATGAAGTTTAATGCGTTCCAATGGCTTTTTACTTCCCGCTTAGCGAAGATTTCACATAGCGAAGGTTAATCCGGAACGGATTAACCTCGCTATACAGGGCACCACTGTACTAAGACCCCCTTATCTGTGGAATCAGTATCCACTGATTCACTTATCCACAGTCTGAAAATATTAAAAGATAAAGTTCTCAAAACTGGCCACGAGAGGGAGCCAGAGACCACGCTATGCACATTGTTCACTCTTAAAACAGAATTTACTATACTCCACGTTTTTCAGCATCCACGGATCCCCTGTGGATACAGGGATCTTACTGTATAGCTAAATGTGTTCAACTGATATAACCCATTGGCAATCCAAATACTATATACACTGTTTTAAGCACCGAGTACCACGGGTGTTGTGAAATCAGGACTCGCAGGTCACAAATGCTAGGGTACTTTGAATACCAGGAACTGCAGCAGCATCTCTTACCTTTTTCATGCTCCCTTGTTCTCTTACATGTTATCTCCTTTTATAATGCAAAGTATTTCAGGGTGGGTCAGTCTTGAATGGGCAGCTAAGAGCCATTAAGTGTACAAAAGAGCTGCTACGCATTTGTTGACACGGGTGTTGCATGTTCAGAGAGGGCGCTGGCTATGGGTTTCTGCCATGATGAGCATCTGCATGTCCCAATTTACTCCCATGCCATGGCAGGACCCAGATAGGTTCGGATTAATGGGGCAACCTAAGGAGGCGAAATGTCTTACTTTCTCCCGCACGCTTTTGCAAAAGGCCATGTCAGGATCCGTGTCATCCAAGGTGAAGACGTTCCGCTTGGCCAGTTCACGGCGCAACGTCTCCCCTCGCAGTATATAGGCCTGAGAGATGTAGGGAACATTCCACACTCCACTGCAGAGAGAAAGAAAAAGGGGGTAAAATCAGGGTTCTCAAGTATCTGAAAAAGGGGAAGCCCCTAGGCACAGGGATGAGGGCCCTGTGTCAAAATATTGATTTAAATTTAACATACTCATTGATTCTTTCTGGGCTCAGCACGAATCTGAGTGATGCACAGTAAAACAGTACAGTGGTGCCTCGCTTAACGACGATAATCTGTTCCAGGAAAATCGCTGTTAAGCGAAAACATCGTAAAGCGAAATTAAAAAGCCCACTGAAATGCATTGAAATCTGTTCCAATGGGCTAAAAACTCACCGTCCAGCGAAGATCCTCCATACGGCGGCCATTTTCGGTGCCTGTATAAGCGAGGAATCTGTCCCTAAGCACAGTGGGGAGCCATTTTAAGCACCCGGCGGCCATTCTGAAAACTCGACGATCAGCTGTTTTTGATCATCGTTAAGTGAAAATCGGTTCCTAAGCGAAATCCCCCCATTTAGACCAATGTTTTGTAATCACAATTGCGATTGCAAAAACATTGTCTTAAAGCGAATTCGTAGTAATGCGGGGCAATCCTTAAGCAGGGCATGACTGTATTCGAAAACAATTTCTTTAAAAATGATTTTAAAATCTGTTTTAAACTCAGTTTCAAAAATCAACGAGGTTTTTGGAGTAACAGAATTTTTACAACCCCTTGGAAGCTCAGTAGAAAAGCAATCCTACAATGCCCATCATCCACAACCAGAATTAAAGGCTAAAATTCCCATCATCCTTCATGGCAGCTGGAATCCAAAACCTCTTGGCGGGGTCACTGGGTTCCCCCACTCCTTTTGTAGAGAAAGAGAAACATGGAAATCCTTTTAAGGGTGGCCGGCTTCCAAAAGCTTCAGGGAAGCTCAGGAGCAGACTGGTAGCAAAACCCCTTCCCTTGCCATAGCAGCTTCCAAAAGCTTCAGGGAAGCTCAGAAGGAGCAGGTTGGTAGCAAAACCCCTTCCCTTGCCATAGCTCCTCAACAACTGGTATTAAAAGGTATACTGCACCTAAACATGGAAGGTCCATTGTACTTGAACTCAGTTTATGAGTTAAGGATCTCTTTCCTAGGAAACCGGAACCTGCTGGTTCAATACCAAACCACAACAGAGAGTTCCAGCGATCTACGCTGATGCTTCAACAATAAAAAGGTATGTTTTAATTGGATTGGCAATGAAGAGCCATTAAGTTTACAAAAGACCGGCCGCTCATTTGTTGACATGGATTACTCCAGTTGTCTGCCTTTTTCGACTCTCTTCAGAGTTTTGCTCACAGGATGTCAGACTGCCTGCATATTACAAGGACCTGGTAGAAATGGCAATCAATCATGGACTTCCTGCATTTAATACGGGGTTATATTAGATGAGTCCCCCTTCCTACTCTCTGATTCCATAGTCAGACAATCAATGCGTTTCAATGGGCTTTTTATTTTCGCTTTACGATGTTTTCGCTTAACAGTGATTTTCCTGGAATGGATTATCGCCATTAAGTGAGCCACCACTGTACGGGGTTATATTAGATGAGTCCCCTTTCCTACTCTCTGATTCCATAGTCAGACAAATGTCCCTGTAAAACCACTCAAGGTACCTCAAGAAGGGAGAGGTGTGTGCATTTTGAGTCACGAGTTCGAGTCCTCGAAAAGAAACCTGAGCCGCGTTTGAGCCGAGTCACCGGAGTGACTTAAGTCCTACTTAAGTGAGTCCCCATCCCTGGTTAGAGTCGTACTGCAGCTGCAGAGAAAAGCTTTCTCTCCCCTCCACGCCTTCCCTTTGCTAAAGACCCCGACTCACACTCTCTTGCCCTGGACCAGCTCCACGTAGTCTTCCGAGCGGGCGTAATACTCATCCGGGCTCAAGGCCCCCCAGAAGTTGGACCAAAGCTTCCCGTGCCGGGACATCATGGGAGCGATCACCTTCCTGAATTTGGAGAAGCGGGTGGGGTGGGGGTTAAAAATACATAAATCAAGGGCATCTCAGAGGTAAGAAAAGAAAAGCGTGCAAGGCGGAGAAGATGCTCGGAATCCCTTTTACAGGCTCCGGGGAAGAGCCCGGGAGAACCGCTCACTTGTTCTCCTGGATGAGGATCTGCAGTATCTCGGGGTTCGTCACCACCACATCTGCATCTAGGCTGAAATAGTAGTCGCAGGCGGGGTCCTGCCGACACAGATCCCTGTTGGCAAACAGAGAAGGGGAAAGGGTTTGAATCAAGACTGACACATGAGCCCCCCCCCATCCGCCCAGTGGTACAATGTGAGGCACCTGAACCAAGAGGGCTGGAGCATATGGGACTTTTTGGATTATCCCCGGCCATATCCTTAAGTGTCTCCCGTTTCCTTTAAACTTAGCCGTGATCCTCACTGTAAGTTAATGCAGGGTGGACTGGGATTACCAGGAATATCCAAAAATGGCACTTTTGAATCTCTGAGCTATTTCACAAACATGATCTGTTTGATCATCCTTATTTGAACCCTGTAAGGCAGGGTTTTGAATTGACGCTTTTGAATTGTGGTGCTGGAGGAGGCTCTTGAGAGTCCCCTGGACTGCAAGAAGAACAAACCTATCTATTCTGAAGGAAATCAAACCTGAGTGCTCACTGGAAGGACAGATCCTGAAGCTGAGGATCGTGACTACTTTGGCCATCTCATGGGAAGGGAAGGCTCCCTGGAAAAGATGTTGATGTTGGGAAAGTGTGAGGGCAAGAGGAAAAGGGGATGACAGAGGACAAGATGGTTGGTCAGTGTCACCGAAGCAACCAACATGAATTTGACCCAACTCTGGGAGGCAGTGGAGGACAGGAGGGCCTGGCGTGCTCTGGTCCATGGGGTCACGAAGAGTTGGACACAACTTAATGACTAAACAACAACAAAGGCAGGTTGGCATTTGTATCCCCCCATGGCAAAGGAGGCCACCAAAGAGCATTTGGCTATCCTCTTGCGGTGCTTTTTCTCAAGAGTTTCATTTGCAACCTCGCGGACAGCCTGGAGTTTGCTGGAAGCCAAATTGTTTTGTTTTGCTGTTGATCTGTTCACAACGGTGAGCAAAGAAATGTTTTTCATTCTTTCGTCTACAAATATCTCAGAGCGCATTATTAAGACTGTAAGTGCCCGCTGATGAGAAAAGGGGTGGACTCTGAGGAACTTGGAGCTATTCTCCTCTGTGGCTCTCAGTATAGAGCACAACAACAACAAAAAAAAGGGATTTTAACTGAAATTCAAAACTCTGCAACACTACAGAGCACAACAAAAAAAAGAAGGGATTTTAACCGAAATTCAAAACTCTGCAACACATCTCTCCCACTTTATAGGCCATACCAACCCTTTTACTTACATGGCCATATCTCTGGCCTCCCCCTCGCTCAGATCCTCTTCCGGCCCCACAAGCTTGATGGTGTCAAAGGCCTCCCGGAGTTGTTCCCACTCGGCTTGGATGTGCGGCTCGTGATACACCACCTAGGAGTTGCAAAAGGACACTCTTGAGAGGGAGACTGCAAGAAATCAGCTCCATAAACAAATTCCAGTGCACCTGTAAGGGCCTCAATAGAGATCAAGGTTTTCCTAGAGTGCTAAATAGATAAATAACCCAGATTTCTATAGTCTATTAAGGGCATAAAACAGATGTTTCCCTTGATAGACTCTAACGTCTGTCCCAGAAACATTCTTATGACAACCAAGTCAACCTGGCTTTTGTTGTTGTTGTTTAGTCGTTAAGTCAACCTGCTAACTGATGAAATTAACAGCTTAATAGCACCATTCCTGTGTGACCAAACCATTGCCCCTTGTGTCTCGTGGAAGCAGAATCGTAGTCGAATCTGTCTCTCCTCTGCTGGACATCTTTTGCTCTGTGTGCGCGCATAACATGTGTCTAGGTGTCTACGTAAGAGACGGAGCACGCATTTGGCCCAAGCTCAAGAAAGACGCTCTCTGGGATGCATAACATGTGTCTAGGAGGTGTCTACGTAAGAGACGAAGCACGCATTCGGCCCAAGCTCAAGAAAGACGCTCTCTGGGACTGCAACACCCAGCATCCCCAGGCTAGCTTGATCCTGGCTGGCCCATTCTGAAAGCCACGGCCTCAAAAAGTAAATTTTCCAGGATCTGAAAAGAAATAGTAGGGCCTTGATTTCCAAAAAGCTCATCTCCCTATAACCGGCTGGGGAATAGGGGGAAAGAGAGGATCGTTTGGAAAATGGGCCCTGATCCAGAACAGAAGCCCATTTTAGATTCAAGAGGCCAACTCCGAGCTTCCTAATCCACACACCCGTTGCTTACACGAGATGCCAGCTGCTGTCCAAAGCAATCTAGTGGAAAATCTGGAGACGTTACTTTTTTTTGAAGACAAGACACACACCCCACTGGATGGTGGGATTTGTAGTTGCGGTTTCTAAACACCGGAACATGTCTCTGTGTGTGTGTCTTGGGGTGGGTGGGGCATTTCCAAATTTGTTGGCGTCAACAAGGAGAAAACTTACACGGTTGTGGATAAAAAGGCTGAGATGTGAGTAAGGATAATCCAGAGTGAGGAGGCGCTGGAGAAACTGAGGAAGAAACGGCGTGGGCTGCTCAATGAACACCCCCAGCAGCACGCGGGGATACGAGGCCTCCTACAAATGGAGAGAGAATAGGGAAAAGTTAAGTGAGCTTCCAAGCTTTCCACACAAAACTCTGAAAAATACCGCCAACCGGCTGGACAGTTCAATGGTTTAAATATCTGGCTGAGGAGTCAAGAGGTTGGGGGTTCAACTCCACCCCACAACTCACCGGCAAATCTGAGAGATCCAGGAGGTTTTCATCACACGTTCCACAGCCCCCTTCATACGTCCATGCATTAGGGATGTAATTCCCCAAATAATTGAGCTGTAACTGCAGAAATGGAAGGCAGGGTCACTAACCATAAAAATGAGGATGGTCGTTGTCACCATGAGGACTAGAAATCTTATTTGCTTGCTTGCTTGTCTGAAAGGGGGGGGGAGACACAAGAGTGTTTGTTTTTCCAGATCCAAGAACAGATACATGTCTGGTTTATCCATTAAAGACCGAGACATGTTTAAAAACTTAGCATTGGTAGCACCAATTTGCACATCTGTCCAGCTTTTCTTACCTTACGGAACAATGTGGAGTTTCCAGGTGGTCCCCTGTCCATCCACTGACCAGAATATGTCAGAACTACAGACATAGAAACCAGCCCTCGGGGTTTCTGTAACCAAGTTTAAGGGTCTCTCCTCCTGCACTATCCTAACTACAGTAGATTTCTTGAGTGCATAAACAATAAATTCCCCCTACTGCAATGTTTCTATCCAGCAGTCACAAGCTCAGCAGTAGGTCACTGCCCTCCGCTGATATCATCATATTTCTCCTACCTTTCTGACCGTGACAAGGAGTGAGTACTTAAAAAAAGGTGCTTTTAAGATAAATATTCTTTGTTGTATTAGAGCAGGAGTTACCTTGGTTGGCCCATTACCATGGATGACGACAGGAAGGGTGTCGTAAGCGACATTTCGGGCGCGCACCCGAGTCCTCTCGAATTTCAGAACGACCTCATCTGTTAAACAAAGACGCATCAAGAGAAATGCTTCTGACTCATTCCTTGTGATCAAACCATGGGATTGTTTTCAATGGGAAAGAATGGCAGTGAACCCATTCGGGGTTTTAGCCTGAACTTTACAAGAACTAGATCCCATAACTCTAAATAGGTTCGGTGGCGAGAAGAGTTCGGATTGAAACCCAGAATGGACCACTCACCCATCCTTACCCCTACGATGTCAGAACCACTCATCCCCACCGCTCCAAACCTAGCTGATTTATCTTCCAGTTCCATTCATCTTTCTGGCTCTCTACCCTGATATGTTCATTCACACTTGGATGGAATGCTTTTCTCTTAGGGGAAAACACCAGCCACTCACCAATGGCCCCATTCAGATTCTGGAAGATTTTTGACTTGTGATCCAGGGCGATTTCGTGTTTCTCCTACAGAGACAGCAGACAGGAGATGTTAAAGACATAACATTTTCCACAACCATACCCCTGTCCACCATTTATCCCTCGGGACAGTTAATATTCCAGTTGTGAACCACGAAACTATAATCCAATCCAGCCAGGGGTGAATTTTTTTTTAAATGATATGCTTTGGTAAATCTGCTGTGGATTTCACAAGCCTAGGCTTCTCCCAACTAGAAACACTTTCAAAACTGGGAATAGGGAACGTTTGTTGCTGTTTAGTCATTGAGTCATGTCTGACTCTTCGTGACCCCATGGACCAGAGCACGCCAGGCCCTCCTGTCTTCCACTGCCTCCTGGAGTTGGGTCAAATTCATGTTGGTAGCTTTGATGACCCTGTCCAACCATCTCGTCCTCTGTCGGCCCCTTCTCCTCCTCCCTTCACAGCTTCCTAACATCAAGGTTTTTTCCAAGGACTCTTTTCTTCTCATGAGATGGCCAAAGTACTGGAGCCTCAGCTTCAGGATCTGTCCTTCCAGTGAGCATTCAGGGTTGATTTCCTTCAGAATGGATAGGTTTGTTCTCCTTGCAGTCCAGGGGACTCTCAAGAGTCTCCTCCAGCACCACAGGGAATATAACTCTCCTCAAAAATGTCATCTTGGATAAGATCTAAGACCTATCTAGATTCAATGTTCTGGTCCACACCAGCCAGCCAACCAAATTCCTCTGGCAAGGGTGGGCAACAGGAGATGTGAAAGGACCCATTAAAAGGCCCTCAAAAGATTGATCGGTGCCTTCTAATTTTTTGTTTTTAATTTACAACGTCCTATACATCCCCTCACTGAATAATGGAAGAGAAATTGTCTGTGGTTCAAATGTTGGTTCATGCCTCGTACTACTGAAGTCAGATTTTTAGCAGAACTTAAAATCAACTCTATAGCTGCATTTGAGAAAAAACAGGAAAGTAAAAAGGTACTTTTTGTCATGTACATCTAATACTAAATAACGACACTGAGGGATCTTAGAACTATTACTTATTGGCTATTTTTTGTTTTGTAACTTGCACGAGTGCAGAGGAAACTACATCCCCAGCAGAAGCAGGCAGTCTCTAATTAAAGAGTCCCTGTTGTGGTTTTGGATCATGCACGGCTCGGGCACAATGAGACAAAGTTGGAGCAATAGGGAATGGAAGCACAGAGGTGTTAATTCTTGGCATTCTGCCACTGCCAGTGACAGTCATTTCCCACACGTCCGTATAAATTACAGAAGCAGATAGATTTCCAGCTAGAATAAACCCCTTTTGGATTCCATGGGCAGAATCCTACTGGATTTTTATTTGCTTGCAGGAGGACTTGTGGAACTTGTCATGACTGCTTGATGAGGTGGCCATGTAGCAGGCACACAACTGGATGTGTGACCAGACACACAACCAATGTAAAATGAAGCATGTTATAAATCAGCAGTTGTAGGGTTCCATGACCCTTCTTGGGGTTTTTTTTGGGGCGGGGGCTTGTTTTTTATTCTTCTTCTTTAAACAAAACTTTATTTTAGACAATCAGTCACATTACAAACAGATAATACAATTACAGTATCTGTTTCAGCCAAAGAACCCGAAAATCCCACAACAACCATTAGATCTTGGCCGTGAAAGCCTTCGCAAATACACAGATAATACAATTAGCCTTCTTACTTAACTAAATATTTTAACATTCTAAACACCAGCTAATCACACCATTTAAGGAAACTACATTTAATCTCAAATCCACCCATTCCATCCTAGAAAGTTACTGACCAACAATCTGAGCAATCTGGATTATTTCCTAAATCTGGTTTCTCTTCCAATCGTACGCATCTTTCGCCTTTCTATGACCCTTCTTGTGTACACCCAAAAATTCAGAAGACTTCTGCCCACTGGGTCAACCCTAGTTGGGATGACAAACTAGAGTTAGGCACGGATCTTCTGAGTTTTAGACCAAAGACATGTGCATTTCTCAAAACCTTCTAATAATCCGTTTCTGCTGGGTGATGTATATACAGTGGTGCCTCGCTTAACGACGTTAATTTCTTCCAGCGAAATCGCTGTAGAGCAAAAACGTCGTAAAGTGAAATAAAAAAGCCCATTGAAATGCACTGAAAACCGTTCAATGCATTCCAATGGGCTGAAAACTCACCGTCCAGCAAAGATCCTCCATAGGGGCGGCCATTTTCCATGCCTGTGCAGCGAGGAATCCATCCCTAAGCACAGCAGGGGGACATTTTCTTCAGCCGGCTGCCATTTTGAAACCCGACGATCAGCTGTTTTTGATCGTCGTAAAGCGAAAAAAATCATTGGAATCACCGGCAAGTGGATTCATTGTTAAACGGGGTAATCATAAAGCGGGGCACGACTGTATCCTATTGCAGCTTTCTATGACTTGTGCAATCACTCTTAAAATGCTGGTACCTTCCGCAGCCACAGAACCAAAAAAAGCCCAAGCATCTCTTAACACAACCAGTGGGGAAATCTCTGAAGGACAACGGACGAAAGGGCAGGAAGAATTCACACCCCTTGAAACTTACCCGCAGGGCAGGATCCAGGTAAATGCGTGTATAGAAGAGCTGATCATCATCATCATCTTTGTATTTCCACAGCTGGACGATGCGATTGATGGTGGGGGCGTAGCCAATAAATCCTGGGAAATAGAGACACAGTGTGGTCGTTTTTGCAAGGTGGGGACAAGAGACATGGGCCTTCTTGTCAAGTGAGACTGAAGCTACGTGGGGACTTGATTCAGATTTGACTTGGGTTTGTTTGTTTGTTTCAATGACTCGGACTAGAGTCAGAACCCACCCTCCCAAAATTTTCTAGAGCTTGCTCTCACAACATAGAGCTTGATAAGCCTACATGGCAGACAGTCTTTTGTGTGGATAAGGAAAAAAAAAAACAGAAAAGGTGTGTGTGTAAGATGAGTTATTTATGGTTATTTTGACAACCGCTTCAGTAAGGTAGGTTATGGTCCACCTAACTATTTCTCCCACTTAATGCTAAGAAAATTCAGTATTTGTATTCTCGAAGGCTTTCACGGCTGGGATCTGATGGGTTTTGTGGGTTTTTTGGGCTCTTTGGCCGTGTTCTGAAGGTTGTTCTTCCTGAAATTTCACCAATCTCAAAGCACAGACAGAGTTCCGACTCCTGTCCTCTGAAGATGCCGGCCAGAGCGACTGGCGAAATGTCAGGAAGAACAACCTTCAGAACACGGCCAAAGAGCCCGAAAAACCCACAACAACAATCAAAATTCAGTATTATTTAGAAATCTGGCACTGGAATAAACATGTAAAACCCATGATCCCATTGGGATAATGTATTCCAATTGCAGAATCCCGGTTTTCCAGGTGCAGAATTTTGCTTTGGCCACCTTGCGCAGCACAGCCAGTCTCTTACCCCCGGAATTGAGGAAACGTTTGCCCACGGGCACTGGTGGGTACTTCTCCGCCAAGGACCACTCTGGCCAGCAGAAGCTTTCCGCCGAGAAGACCAGCTTGCTTTTGAACTGTAGGAACTTCCAGAGAAGTTCAATGGGGCCTCCGGCCAGGATCACATCGTAGCTGGAGAAATGGACAAAAGCAAGGGCTTCTGTGAGTGTCTGGAACAACCTTTGCCTTCTGTTGAGAAGGAACCTCAAGAACTGGATGTGGAGGAGACCCAGAATGTCACGTCTGGGATGCATCCCGCCCTATTTTCATGCAAGCTCAGATGATCCAGACCAACCTTTGTAAACCCACCTGTCCACAAACATGACGATCAGCTCCTCCTCGTTTGCATATTTCTTCATTTCTGCTTTCAGCCAACGGACCTTCTGTCCGCCGCCAACAGTGCGGGCGACATCACCTCCTTTCCAATCTTCCCCTAACCCAAGAGTCTGGTGGGAAACAAGGAGTAGCTTTTTAAATTTTCTTTGGAAAAGGAAAATTATTATTATTATTATTATTATTATTATTATTATTATTATTATTATTATTGTTGTTGTTGTTGTTGTTGTCGTCGTCGTCGTCGTCGTCAACAACAACAACAATAAAGAGGATCTGTCACTGAAATAGACACAATTTCTATGTGTCTTTATGCCATTATCTTTCAGCACCAACAAAAGTTTGTGCAATCATCTTTCCAACCCTACGATAAGAGATACTACTCCAATATAAGAGATATTACTTCTAATAATGACAATATTGTTATTTTTATAACAATCAATTATATTTTCTTGTGTATCTTTTAAAATTGATCTTGGAGTTTTTATTGCGGGTGACTTTTCAATCATGTTTTTTAAAAAAATCTTTTCCAAAAGGAGATACTTGATATTTTTGGAGTTTCTTTGAGAAGTCAGTTTGGCACACCTTAACAGTGTAGTTGAAGTGTTTGGCAGTCTGCAGAAAGCGTTGGTACCCCTCCGTTTTTTCAGTGGCAGCTGTCAAGACCAGGAGTTTCCCTGAAGACAGAAAAAGAGACACACACATACACCCCGAGTGAGTTTCAAGAATGGAAATCTCAGGATTTTAGAAAGACTAAGGCCACAAGTTCCCAACTTGGCTACCAGGAAAGGAAGAAAGGAAGAAAGGAAGAAAGGAAGAAAGGAAGAAAGGAAGAAAGGAAGGAAGGAAGAAAGAAAGAAAGAAAGAAAGAAAGAAAGAAAGAAAGAAAGAAAGAAAGAAAGAAAGAAAGAAAGAGAAGGAAGGAAGGAAGGAAGGAAGGAAGGAAGGAAGGAAGGAAAAGCCCATAATAATCTGGAATGTCTATTCATCCAGTTTCCTAAAACATTTTGACCGTTGCTAAGGGATTTGGACTGAAAGTAAATGATGGCACGACATCATTTGAAATATAGATTTTTTTTTCTGCTCCAAACCCCAAAGGATTAAAGATTTTTCTGCAAAGGTGTGTTGGGGGAAAACAAGATATATTCAACTTGGCTTAAACATGTCCAGGCACGCACTATTTCACACAAGCCTGTTTGCAGAGTAGCAAAGAGACAGAATTGGAAATTGGTGTAATTTTTATCCCATCGCACTCCTATTCAGAGATCAAAGGATGGTGTCATCATCTCCAGTCTTGGATCCTCACCTTTCTATGACACCCCGGGGTGCAGGCTTTGAACTATTAGAATTCAATTCTGGATGGAAGAGGAACGTGTCCTCTTCCCGAATGCTTCCCGCTCCCAAGAGTTTTCTGCTTCCACGCACCTGCATCCCCCTTCCTCCAAAGCTGTCACATTGCTAGAAATCAGGTGGGTTGAAAGACAGGCCCTTCAAGCGGAAGACCAACCAGCGGCTCTAGCGATTTTTGCAAAGGAGGATTTCAATTCCATAGAAGGGTGAGAACGGAAAGCCCAAAGGGGGCCTAGAGGAGAGCAGGGGGAGGATGGAGAGAGAGAGAGTTTTACACCATCTGGATTCTTGTCAAGAAGAACATTTTGCACACTCGGGGCAATGTTTTCTCTGGGCAGAGATTCATGATGCACCTGAGCCACAAACGGCACGTCTTCGAGGCCCCTCCGTTGGGGCAGGCGGGTCCAAAACCAACATGCGTCGTAATGAAGGTCAGACGCAATGTTCCTTGCCTCCTCCTCCTCCTCCTCCTCTCACCATCTGGATTCTTGTCAAGAAGAACATTTTGCACACTCGGGGCAATGTTTTCTCTGGGCAGAGATTCATGATGCACCTGAGCCACAAACGGCACGTCTTCGAGGCCCCTCCGTTGGGGCAGGCGGGTCCAAAACCAACATGCGTCGTAATGAAGGTCAGACGCAATGTTCCTTGCCTCCTCCTCCTCCTCCTCCTCTTCTCTCTCTTAGGTCCAAAACCAACATGCGTCGTAAGGAAGGTCAGACGCAATGTTCCGTTCCTCCTCCTCCTCTTCTCTCTCTCTTTCTCTCTCTCTCTCTCTCACACACACACACACACTTACACCAGACATCAAGCGTTTGGTTCACAACCGAGAGGATCTGGCTGTCCTCCCCATCCTCAGCCTCCTGACTGAACATAAGGCAGCACAGCTAACAAATTAGTTGGGTCTCTCTCAACCCATTTCGAGGACGCTGATATTGGCATCACAGGTTTAGGAAGAAACTATTTTTCGGAGAAATTGTAACTTTTTGTTAGGGGACTAGCTGCTAGTTGACTTGGGCTGGCAGGAAGGCAAGCACAGATGGTCAGTCCCAGAGGTGGTTCCAACACCCAGATCTACTAAATCTCTCCACTATGTAAAGATGATTACGTCTCCCCACTCCATGCCAATTATACAGGGTTTGGTTCCACAGAAGTGTTTTGTGGCAAGACTGAGCTGGTGACTCAAAACCAGTTTACTCTCAGAGGATAAAACAGGACATTGTGCTCTCAGCAAAGTGTGTTACATTTCTGCTGGTTTCATTTTCGATGCCAGTGAATCTTCACCTACTGGAAATTAAAGGATTTCAGCCTCTAGTGTAAAAAGGCATCATCTACCTCACCATACAAGCTTGAGAGTTTTCCCCAAAATGTGCCCAACGGGCAGGCCATGTTTCTCAGGTCGCTGCCTGCCTCAAATTTGGAAAAGTTATTTTTGGGGGTTATGTATCTTTTGGGGGTTATGTATCTTCCCAAAATAAAGCAACCAACCGGACCCAAGTCCATGCTGGCTAGGGGAGGTCTCCATGTTCTGGGTGAGATCCATGAAGAAGAACCGAAAGGAAGGCTGGAGTAAGGAATATCACTCCTGCCCATCTAAATCCAAAGAAGCTTTTTTGGCTCTGGATCAGTGTCTAGTATGGCCACATGCCTTAGTTACATCTTGGCTTGATTACTGTAAAGCAACCAACCGGACCCAAGTCCATGCTGGCTAGGGGAGGTCTCCATGTTCTGGGTGAGATCCATGAAGAAGAACCGAAAGGAAGGCTGGAGTAAGGAATATCACTCCTGCCCATCTAAATCCAAAGAAGCTTTTTTGGCTCTGGATCAGTGTCTAGTATGGCCACATGCCTTAGTTACATCTTGGCTTGATTACTGCAACGTGCTGCGGCTCTGGATCAGTGTCTAGTGTGGCCACACGCCTTAGTTACATCTCGGCTTGATTACTGCAATGTGCTGCTTGTGGGGCTGCCCTTGGAGATCATTCAGAAACACCAGTGGGTCCAAAATGCTGCAGGCAGATTATTAACTGAGATTTGTTATATGGAACTTATAATTGTTCTGTTACAGCAGCTCCACCGGCTGCTGATCCATTTCTGTCTATCCGGACAATCAGGAGAGGCCTCTTCCATCACTGTTCCCAGACTCTGGAACTCCCTGACACTGGAGGCCAGGCTGGTGTCTCATCTTTGTTGTCCTTCCCCAACCTGGAGGAAGACCTTTCTCCTCCCGCAAACTTTCCTTTAAATGACTAGTTGACCAAGGGGGTGTCTCATCTTTGCTGTCCTTCCCCAAGCTGGAGGAAGACCTTTGTCTTCCCACAAACTTTCCTTTAAGTCAGTGGTCCTCAACCTTGGGCCTCCAGATGTTCTTGGACTACAACTCCCAGAAGCCTTAACCACCACCTCTGCTGGTCAGGATTTCTGGGAGGTGAAGTCCAAGAACATCTTGAGGCCCAAGGTTGGGGACCACTGCTTTAAATGACTAGTTGACCAAGGGGGATTTTAAAAAAGGGTTTATTGTATTCTGTAGCTTGGTTTATGTTTTTATTATTGCTCTTATGTATAAGTTTTAATGGGACGTGGTGGCGCTGTGGGCTAAACCGCAGAAGCCTGTGCTGCAGGGTCAGAAGACCAGTAGTTGTAAGATTGAATCCATGTGATGGAGTGAGTTCCCGTCGCTTGTCCCAGCTCCTGCCAACCTAGCGGTTCGAAAGCATGCAAATGCAAGTAGATAAATAGGGACCACCTCGGTGGGAAGGTAACAGCGTTCCATGTCTAAGTCGCACTGGCCATGTGACCATGGAAGATTGTCTTCGGACAAAACGCTGGCTCTATGGCTTGGAAACGGGGATGAGCACTGCCCCCTAGAGTCGAACATGACTGGACAAAAATTGTCAAGAGGAACCTTTACCTTTATAAGTTTTAATATGTTTAATTCTTTTTAAGTATTGTAACCATTTTAGCTTCTAGCTGCATTTCTTCCAATATTATAAGCTGCCTCGGATCCTTTAGGGCAGTGGTCCCCAACCTTGAGCCTCCAGATGTTCTTGGACTTCAACTCCCAGAAATCCTGGCCAGCAGAGGTGGTGGTGAAGGCTTCTGGGAGTTGTAGTCCAAGAACATCTTGGGGACCACTGCTTTAGGAGAAAGCATATACATCTTTTAAACAAACAAACCGGATGTCTGGAGTTTGAAAACGTTAGCTTTGGGAAACCAACCCAAAAACTACAACTCCCAAGATCTCCCATTCATTCATCACACGTGTAAGAGGGTTCTGGATTCTGGAGGCCACTCATTCATTCATACGGCCACCCTAATTTGGAAGTGCCTTGCTGGCATACAAGAAAAACCAACCAAGTACCCATGCTGGCTGCAGAATCCTGGACGTTGCCATCCAATTTTTGCCAAACTTTTGCCCAATACATAACTTAGGGTCTCCAGTGCGAAGTGACACAGCCCTCTGGCTAAAATTTGAACTGCCTAGAATGCGGTTTCTTGGCTCTTTTCCTTTTAAAAATCTCATCCATCCTGTTTTGGCTCCGTCCTGTGCCCTCAGACAGTGCCAGGCGGCGGCTGAGCCTCCAAGCCCTCAAAGAGCAGCCTTTCAGCCGACGAGGAATGCTGTCTTGGGCGCAGGCCAACGCTGCTGTTTTGGCATCCGAAGTCTCCTCGAGACAGTAAAAGCAGAGAAGCCGGTGCCGTGGGTCAAAAAAAACACTTACGGTGTCTGGGCGGGAGCTGAGCTACTTCAAGGCTGTCTCCTTGTCGCAGCATAAACAGTCTTCCCATATATATATATGATGCAAAGTGGCCCTATTGGGAAGGCTGTTTATGCTGGGGCAAGGAGACAGCCTTGAAGCCTATATATATAGGTGCAAAGTGGCCCTATTGGGAATAACACATATATGTGTGTGTTTGTCGACAAAGATCTGGCTGTTTTTTTAAAAGTCGCAGATAATTTCAGCTCCCTTGTGTCAAAAGACTTTGGCTGGAATAAGATGACAAAACTTCCCACAGCAAGGGACTGGAATTCGGGGCTCAGAGGCAAAACCCTTCTTCTACGATAAGGAATATGGACACACACAACTGCGCCTCTGAACCTATGCAGAAGGTCCTTCTGTGATGGGAAAATAACTACCACCAGACTCTTTTCTGTAATTAGTATGGGGATTCCTACCAGCTTGGATTCTAATGGGACTCTCTCAACTAGGTTCTATCCAGTTGTGTCAGACTACAATACCAGTCATCCCCTGCTCCCAGTGGCTGGGGTGGGGGGAAGCTGTAGTCCGAGAAATTGGTATAGGTTGGGGAAAAGGTTTTCTGGCACAGCTTGCACCATCAGCACGAATTACAAATTCCCACTCATCTCCTCAACTCACTGCCAGCGCGAGTTAATTAAATATATGTGTATCTACATTCTCACTGTTCCTTTTTGTCCAAAAGAGAATTTAATCCAGACAAGCAAAGGATGAACCAAACAGTTCATCCATGAACAAGAACAAAGAATTTCACATCTTGAATACATCAAAATTAACATCTCTTGCAGGAGGATTTTCCCCTTTGGCCAAACTGTCACCGTCTCGTCTGCCAAACCACGACGGAATCCTTCTGCAGCAAAATTTCCAAGTTACTATTTTTTGCTGGGCAAACATATGGCCGTCTGACTAAAATATCCCACACCGGTCCAGCCTTAGCACCAGAGAATTCTAGAATCTGCCGGAAATATCTCAATTTGTCCAATATGTGTAGAGAGGGAGGGAGAGATGAACGGAGAAATTAAAACTCGCCGCTCAAGCCTTGGACAGAGATCATATTATTAGGCAACATCCTCACGAATTACCCACAGGGATGAGAAATAGGAGCAAAAAGAACTGGCAACACAAGATGGTAGAATTCTAAAATGCTACAAGAGGAGACATTGTAAACTTTTTTTTAAAAAAAACTACATCTCCCAGGATCCCCAGCCAGCATAGCCACTGGCTGGGGTTTTCTGGGTAATGTAGTCCAAATTTTCTTTTAAATGTAACAAGCTTTTTCAGGAATCATCCTGCCATTAATGACTAGGGAACCCTCAGCGCTGTAATCCAGACAATAAACTCTTCTACATAGGGGGAAATGAAATCATGGAAACCTCTTAAGGCAGCCTTTATGTGCATGCCATTTATGCTCACGTGTACAAAATTTATGTACCCCATGTGTACCAATGAGGTAGCAAATAGCAGAGAGGACACTCTTGAAGTACCCCTCTTCTGGCCAAAAGCCGTCTAATTATCTTAACATTTTAATTCGTTTTTTAATTTTCATTTCTATTTCGTATACATCCATAATTTTAAATTGTGCAACGCTCTGCTAGGGAGACAGAAAGAAAAGGACCCATCGCTCTCCCCTGTTGACTCTGGGTTGGGGCAAATGGGATATGTAGTCCAGCTCCTTTGTCAGACTCCCGATTCCTGAATATTATGCCCACCAAAAAAGAAAAGGAAAAAAGAGAGAGAGATTATTTGCTCTGAACAATGTGTCTTTCTCATTCTTCTTTCCTTCCACTTCAGCTCTATAAGAGTTAATATGATCTCATATCTCCTGCCTCCCAAAGCAACCCTAAATCCTCCCAGCCAAAAATTCCACCATTCCTCTATCTGCCAAAGTTTTCGATTCACAGAGATTTAAAAATCACCTCTCCGGAACCAAACAGCTGCCTTTCCGGGCACTTAAATGTCCTTCTGCAGAACGGGTTACATTTCACCAAGCCGGAAATCCCCAGCGGTCTTAAATTTCACCCCTGTAACATCTGTAAATACAATTATGAGCACCGTAGGGGCAGGAGTGACAGGGGAAAAAAGAGGACACACACTCACCTCCCAGGAATGTCAATTAGAGAGAGGAAAAAAGGCACAGATATGTTTAGCCTTGTATAGGTATTTATCTTACTATGGCTTTGGGGAAGGTTCCATAGAGCTGATGTGGCTACCTCGGTAGTCTGTTATGTATGAGAGAGCAGCATTTAAGCATTACATCCCACTTTTCCCCAATAAGACTCCTCTTCAGTTGTGTGGAGGCTCTTCATTGTCTGGGGATAATGGGAATTGTAGTCAGACCTCTCTGGTACCTATTTGCTTGCCATCTTGGCCCTCCTCTCCATTTTTGAGCATGCTTCAGATCACGGTGGGTGACACCGTGGCCATCCAGATGTTAGACCCATTCGAATCAATGGGAGGTAAAGAGGAGTTGACTCCCCATATCCCTGTTGATTCAATGGGCTGACTCTAGTGCCACTTACTATGCTAAGCAACAGGATTCTGGCCATAATACGATATGATAAGGAGAAGTACATGTTTCCTTCCTCAAACCCCGCTTGTAGAAATCTAGACAGCTTGGTTAGACCAACCTGGACTGATTCTACCTTATCAATAATGCCACATCATCATCGAGAAGAGCAAAAAGTGTGATGTAATTCTGGAATAAATAAGTCACTTCCCTCCCCTCCACTTGCCCACATTTATGCAACTTTCACATCTCAGAGGCAGGCAGGCAAGTCTGCTTCCTCAAAATCATTTTAAAGCAACCAGATTTTTTTTTGGGGGGGGGGAACGGCCATGTCCCCAACAGTAGTTACAGAGCAATGTCCAAGACTGGGGGAAATCCACAGAAAAGTTACCTTTTTGAGACCATCACTCAGAAAATGATAGAACCAGGACATGGCCAGTGTGTCTGCTCCTTGTGGCATTCTGGGAGCTGTAGTCCAAGAAAACGTTAAGGACTCCCATTGCTGGTAACAAGGTACCCCTATTTTTCCGTGTATAAGACGCCCCCCACTTTTCTAATTCAAAATTAAGAAAAATAAGTGGGGCTTAGCAAGTGTAGGGAGAAAGGGATCAAAGCGCTGCAGGATCACTTTGATCCCTGCTTTCCCTTCCATTTGTTTTTGTTCTCTCCTCAGCCTACTTCTATGTATAAGACGACCCTCGATTTGTAGTCTAAAGATTTTAGACAAAAGTATAGTCTTATACACAGAAATAAGGTCGATCCAGTTACCACCCAGATAATGGTCAAACTCTGGCCAAGTCCAGTCAAAAACTGAAGACTCAAGAGTACAAATCTGACATTTTAGACGACAACACACGGAATTCCCTAAGGAGTGCCCGTTTTTCAGATACTGTACTGGCACAGAGTGCACATTGCACTAATGGGTGGTATAGAAGTTAAGTAAGTACTCTCCAAAATTTGCCATGCACCCACCAAATCTGCCAAAGAATTTACGAGCCACCCACCTGCTCCAACCCAAGCCCCTCCAGATGTGCCAGACCACCTCTCCCATCATCCCCAAGTCAGAGACCCTGTACCACTTTGGCTGCTCTACAGAGTCCATCCTTCTTCAATGCCATCAAGCCCTCCTCAGGAACCCAGACTGTCCAGTCTGACAGTTCCTAAGAGTTAACTACCTATTTCTCTACCCACTTTAACCTCGGCTTGGAGACCTTTTCCCTCAAGATCCTCACAATTACTTTCAGATCGTTTGCAAGCCCATCTTTAAAACGCTCCGGACATGTTGCAACAGGATTCTCTTCCCTTCCATGTCACCCAGAAAGTGAGGAAGAAGGCAAGTTTGCAGTCATTGATTGCACCACCCTCGGTAGGACACCCAACACCCTCTCGGGGAGTCTTGCATTCCCTTGCTCGCAGTCTAGGGGTCTCCGTCTTCCCCAGTGCTGCTGAGCGACCACAGCCTGCCCAGCAGCTTCCATTTTGGTACCTGGGGAAAGTGACACCTTGTCCACGGAAAAATCTGTAGAGGGACGCTGTGTCGCGCGTAAAAGAAAGTTTGTGCTCACAGAAGTGGGAAAGGGGGGGCAGGCCCGGGAATTGCCACTTATTCTCCTAACCCTCCCCACTACATTCGCCCTTAATTTCGGCGCCTTAGAAAGAGTCCCACTGCCCTGCCCGAGTTATACCCCCTGCTCCGTCCTGCTCTTCAGGATCCATCGCTCCCGGCTGCGTTCCCACGCCTGATCCTCACCCCCATCTCTCTTTCTCCCCCCCCCTCCACGCGATCCTACCAGGATCCACAGCGTCTGCCTTGCCCTCGCTGGTTCCCGCGGCGCCCGTCCCCAGGAAGGCCAGCGTCGCGGCCAATGCCAGGCTTGCGACCCCGACCCTCTGCCGCGCCATGCCGGAGCCGAAGCGAGCCACCACCGAAGGCGGATCGAGAGAGAGGCCCGCCTGGGGTTTTTCTAGCTCTCGCGATCAGCGGGGCTGGACCAACATCAAGCTCCTCCCTATGGCGGTCCCACAGCTGGGAGGGCAGGAGAAGACCCAAAATCCCCTTCCTTCCCGAAACAGGGTCCCCTCCTCCTTTGCCAAGACAGAGGGACGCTTAGAACCGACATCTACTCCATTTCCCATTCATCAGAGCGGATGATGGTGTTCTGATCTCCTCTTAACAGAGCCATCCACGCTTCTTAAATCAGCTTTTTTTCCCCTTGCTTTTTTTTTTATCAATGGAGCCCCGTGGGAAAGTGGCTTTCGCGCATCATCCAATCGGACGGGAGTTCGGGCAAGCGGCTGTCCAATCAGAACATCGGGGGTTCTGTTCTTTTCCCCCTCCCGTCCAATCAAGAGTCTGGAAAGTTCGGGACGAGGGAAGAAAGTTGTAAAAACAATAACAACAATGGGGGAGCTTTAAAAGTTTAAAAGAGAGCCAGGAGGAAGAACGTGGGGTTTTTCCCCCCCCAAAAGTGCCACGTGGGAGAGAAAAACTGCGAGGAAGGGCAGGAGAGGATGAAGACCCATACAAACTTAGCACGGTGGGAGCGATCCATCATCCTTCCACCCCGGGAAGGCGTTCCAACATGATGATCACCCTGACAGTATAATTGCTCCGTTACTTCTAGTGTTTCTTTACTCGTTTCTTTTGCATCCTGCTTTTCCTCCATGGAACTGAAGGCGGCGTATTTTCTCCTCCTCCTCCTTTCGCGTCACGACAACCCTGTGAGGTAGGGCAGTCCGGAAAGGAAGGTACATTCACTTAGTCAGGATTTCGCATCCCGACTAAATCCCAAACAGGGAACTCGGGTCTGGTCCTCTCAGTTGGCAATCCAGAGCATCCTGCGGGTGTGGCGAATCAGATTTTGGTTAGTGGCTTTGGTTGGCAGTTCGATTCCCCACGGTGCCTTCCTCGGCGATCCAGAAGGTCCCTTCCAGCTCAGCAATTCCAAGATGATGATGATGTTGATGATGATTTTGAATCAATAACCTCCGCGCTTTGGCAAGCTGAATAAAGGTTTATTAGTTATCCAAATGACATCCGTCCTTGACAGGGAGGGGGGTGGCCTCTGCGATCCAGAGGGTCCCTTCCAGATCAGCAATTCCAAGATGATGATGATGATGATGTTGATTTTGAATCAATAACTTCCGCGCTTTGGCAAGCTGAACAAAGGTTTATTAGTTATCCAAATGACATCCCTTCCATTTCTTGCTCTGTCTTCTGCATTTCTGTGCCTTTTCTCTGCAGGCAGGAACGTATCTTACGCTAACCACTCCTCCGCACAGCCCTTCCAGGCTCCCTTGAAGATTCTGAGTATTTTTAGACCATGATCCCCTAACCACGAATCTCAAAAAGAATCAGCAGTTAATGCATTGGGACACTTTTGAATACGCTCTTTCGGCTTTGTCGTTTTAAACGGTAACCCTCTCTGCACATCTCCTAGGGAGTAAGCCCATTTCATTTCAGGCGGACTTTCTTCAATAAACATGCAAAGATCGGGTTGATAAAAAAGGTTATTTCGCCTGCGATTGGCGGGAAGTGACAACGCGTACGGACAAAGACCGGTTTGTATAAACTAATGCAAAACTAGAGTCCCTCCCTCTGTTTTACGCAGCCCTTCCCGATTCTACAAAGGTCTCCATCTCTCCAATCGTTGACGCACTCTGCACATGTTCAGAGGAACGCTGTCGCTGCAATGTCGTCACACCTCTTGGGCCTAACTACTGGAACGGGAACCCGTTACGGGGATCTGCGCGCTGGTGAACCTTGCAGCCATTTCCGACGAAACCCTGATTTCTACCTTGGCCCTTCAAAAAAGCACTTAGAAACGGGTTGTTGATATACGACGGAATTTAGGACCCGGGAAGGGCAGCCTGCCGGATGAGAAATTCTCCGGTGTTGACATCACTGGGACGCTTTCCAGGGGACGGTGATAGGCCGCCAAGCACAGGCGGAAGTGAGTTTGCCCCTACTAAAATGGCGGCGGCTTGGCGGCCATGCTTTCCCATAGAGCTAGAAAACGAGGTCTCCGGTCACGATATAAACTTCCGGCATTAGATTCTTTGTGTAGGATTCAGAGTAGCGCCGCTCTATCCCTTCGCGCCTCTGTGGTTTGAAAGCATTCATGCGTTTGGAAAAACTGAATTTTAAAAAAACCAGAATTCGTGGAAACCGAATCCCTTTTTTTTGGCTTGCAGGATGGTGGAAAAGAAGGTCTCAGGTATTTTGGGGAATGGAGAGGCTGGAGGGAGGCAAAGGGCGGGGGGGGGAATCTGTGCCCTTTAATATAAGAAAGGGACCCTTAAGAAATAAGAGTTTTTTCCCGGCTGTGTAGTTCTAAAATTAGGAATTGCTCTTTCCTGGCACTCTAGCTTAATTCTATTGCCCAGCTGTTCCTCATGGGGAGGGCGATTTGCAACCTTCCTCAACGTGGTGCCCTAGATGTGGTGGACAACAACTCCCATTATCCCCAGACCATCCTGTTTTGGGGGCGAGGGGACGGTAGTAATCCATCACACCTAGAAGACTTGTAAGGGAGGGGAGCGTGTTAAATTTTGCAGCAGGTGGACATCACAGTTTCCTGCAAAGCTTCTGTTAATTGTGTCAATCCGGTGCTCTCTCTGTGTGTGTGTGTGTGTGTGTGTGTGTGTGTGTGACCACACTGCAAAAAAATCTTTGTTGTACTGTACTTTGGTTATACAGTAAAAAAAAACCAAACACCTGAAGCCTGCGAATCGGTGGCTGTATTAGATCTGCTGGCTCTCATCATTTATCATGCCGGAAGTGATTTGAGCATCGGGTACTGCAAAGAAATCTTTGTTGTACTTTGGTTATTAAAAAACAACAACTGAAGCCTGCCCAATGTATGGGAAACAGTGCAGCCAACCATGTGAATCGGTGGCTGTATTAGATCTGCTGGCTGTCATCATTTATCATGCTGGAAGTGATTTGAGCATCGGGTGTGCGCTGGCATGACAGATCCTGCCACAGGATGGTGCTTCTTGACCACATATCTATGAGCTAAATTTATGGGGTGATTGCTGCATGTTGGGAATCCCTCCCATATGAAGGATGAGCCTTTTTTGAGGGGAAAATACAAATGCAAGAATAGACACTGTACCTTAATAGACCACTTAACAATCATCATACAATAGGCAGTCTTTCGTGGGCCAAGGCCACTTTGTCAGGCTTGTACCACTGTGAAGAACTTAACACCCTAAAGTTCATGGCAAGATGGATTTTGCTAGGAAAATGACTCTTAGGTAAAGGTAAAGGTTCCCCTTGATATTTAGGCCAGTCGTGTCCGACTCTAGGGCGCAGTGCTCATCCCCGTCTCCAAGCCGTAGAGCCAGCGTTTGTCCAAAGATAGTTTCCATGGTCCTGTGGCCAGCGTGGTTGTCCCTATTGATCTACTTGCATTTGCATGCTTTCGAACCACTAGGTTGGCGGGAGCAGGGTGAAGCGATGGGGGCTCCCTCCGTCATGTGGATTCGATCTTACGATGGCTGGTCTTCTGACCTTGCAGCACAGAGGCTTCTGCGGTTTAATCCACAGCGCCATCATGTCCCTAAATGACTCTTAGATAGATGTAAAGCCCAAAGGTTCTTGTTAAGATGGATTTTGCCAGGCACATCATTCTTGGATGTGAGTCAGGAATGATGAAGGCAGTATTAGGGCTGTTGTTTTAAAGTCACAGCTGAGGCAGCTGTGGATTGGATATCCCACCTCAGTTCTTCAAACCAAGAGGCACAAAAAAAGAGATGCCCCCTGCCCCTCTGTGATGGAGAGAAGGGTGCGCATGGCCGAGTTGTGCGGTGCATGTGGCTGTTTGGTAGTTTCCCTGATATGGCGCCTTCTGGATGTCTTGGCTCTTAGAGTCTGGGGAATCTAGGCTAGCTCATTCAGAGAGCCCCGGATTGGTAATCCGCGCCTCAAGGAATGGGGCAAGTTGGATGGTCAGTTCCATTACTGAAGGCCTGGGGTGAGTCTTCTGTGGTCCTGCGATGGATTCGAGGTTGCTTGGCATCACCCTTCTGTTGCTTCCTCTTTGTCTCGCCCAGCACGGTCTCAGGATCCAAGCCAGAGACGTATTTTAGACCGGGCAACTCGGCAGCGGCGCCTCAACCGCCAGCTGGAAGCCCTTGAGAATGACAACTTTCAAGACGACCCTCATGCCAACATGCCCCAGCTGGTGAAGCGCCTGCCTCAGTTTGACGACGACACAGAAACAGGTGAGGTTTTGAGAACCGCTTTCGGGAACCGATTTTTCGCTTTATGACGATCAGAAAACAGCTGATCATCAGGTTTCGAAATGGCTGCCCGCTGTGCAAAATGGCTCCCCGCTGTGTTAGGGATGGATTCTTCACTTTACAGGCACCCGAAAATGGCTGCCCTATGGAGGATCTTCGCTGCACAAGCAGGTATTTCGCCCATTGGAATGCATTGAACGGTTTTCAATGCATTTTAATGGGCTTTTTTATTTCGCTTGATGACAATTTCGCTCTACAGCGATTTCGCTGGAAGAGATTAACGTCGTCAAGCAAGGCACCACTATACTGACTGCATGTATTCTCTCTCTCTCTGTCTCTCTCTCTCTTTCTCACACACTCACTCTCAGTCCTGTCTTTTTTTCCTCCACACCTATTAAGTTCTTTTTTTCTTTTTTTGCATTGCCAAATTATTTGGTCATTTCAGTCAGGACGCTTTGTCAGATTGAGACTTTTGCATCCCTAGCCGTTACCATGTTGAAGATCTTCCAGGACAAGGAAACAAAGGAAGCTCTGGGGAACTGACTCATCTTAAATTAGGAAATTGCGGTGTGTATGCAGAAGTTTTAATTTCTACCCTTTAACCTGTTTCCCCAAAAATAAGACAGGGTCTTATATTAATTTTTGCTCTAAAAAACGCATTAGGGCTAATTTGCAGGGGATGTTTTATACTTTTCACATACAATCATCTACATTTATTCAAATACCGTCCTGTCATCTTATTCTGGTTGCTGCACAAGGGTGGAAGGGCGGGGCTTCACTTAACTAGGGCTTATTTTTGGGGTAGGGCTTGCATGACGAGCATCCTGAAAAGTCATAGTGGGGCTTATTTTCAGGTTAGGTCTTATTTTCAGGGAAACAGTATACCATTTGGGATATATTTTGATATAAGCAAACCAAGAAACAAAAGGGGATGTGGGGTGGGGAGGGGTGGCGGGTGGGGATTTGGTTTCAAGATGCAAGCCACCCCACTCATTTAAGAAGAACAGAATGTTGCAAAAATACTGCTGAGTAATGGTACCTTTACCTCATTTTTTGCAAAATTTTATGTTTTTAGCTCTTACCGTTTCTGGTATCTCTCTCTCTCTCTTTCTCTCTCTTACCATTTCTGAGATAGATAGATATTTAGGACAAACAAACATTGAGAAACATTTATAACATTTTTATAATGTGTGTACAGCAAAAGACCCCAGGTTGGGTACTCTTACCATTTCTGAGATAGATATATATTTAGGACAAACAAACATTGAGAAATATTTATAACATTTATTATAACATGTGTACAGCAAAAGACCCCAGGTTGGGTACCAACAGCAAAACATTTGATGGAATTCCACCAGATTCCTAACTCCCTCAATCTTTGTTTCAAGTGCTGAGTTAAATGAGTAACCCGGGAGGGCCTTCCATGGCCAGAGCACCACAACAGAGAAGGTATAACCTCAGGATACAATTTCATACCCAGAGGGTGTCAGGATTTGGCCAAAGTCTTCCTAAATCTCTGACATGCCGTGGGGCCATTCCTTCAACAGCGATATAAGGACAAAGTGGCTTATGTAGTGCAGCATCATGGTGGGTGCACAAGACAAACACACATGGGCCAGCACTTACATCCCTTAAATCTATTTCTGACTCCCTTGTACAGGCATTTGTTTCAGACTTAAGAGTATAAAATGAGTTGGAGAACGGGCCCTGTAACTAAAAGTTTGCCTTTTGCTCATCATTACAAACTTCCTTCCAGCAAAGTTCTGATCAGGAATTCTTTGCACTGGTCACCAGCTTTACTCACTGTGATCCTGAACCTTTTGCTGTTCTAACGGACTCAGATCAGAGCTGAACATTTGACTGCTCAAATCAAAATTTGTCAGTTAACCATGCAAATATTGACTCGGGTTTTAGATGTTTAGAAATGAACCAGAGGCCCTTCCACAAAGCGCTGTCCATGACCCATTTACCAGAGGCAAAAGTTCTTGTGTCTATGTCATAAAGTTCAAGGATAGGGATTTTATAGAGATTTGTTCAGTTTGAGGTTGGCAACGGCCTACCTGGAAATTGCTCAATAGTGGAAATCTGCAGCCGGTTTTGCAATTAAAAAAACCTGGTATGACAGATTCTGGAGAACAATAGCAGAGGGACAAAGTGCATGGCTCTAGTGGTAATAGGAACCGCCATTAAGTCAATGAAAGTGTTATTTAAATTGATTTTTAAAAAATCTTGTGCACATGATGCACAAATAAAATTGATATATATTAGCTGCAAAGCAAGTTCATTTCAAATGGCCAGCAGGGGCTTTTAAAAACACCTCACTTCTAAATTATCCAGCCCTGTTGGATAGTGCCAACGCCACCGTGAGTTTCATGGCTCATTGCAGTCTTGAACCTGGAGCTACTGGGACCCAGTCCAACCATCTAATTGTATATACACAACGCTCAGATGACACCATGATGAAATGTCAGAAGTTCTATCTCCTACCTGCATAGCCTTATTTTTGCTGCAATGTTGGTGAGTCCATGAGTCTGCCAGTAAACTACCGGTTGAGTTAAAGGAGCTTTGGGTAAAATTGATTGTTTTTATGTCTTTCTCTCCCTCCGCTCCACACGTTGGCTTTTCCAGGGAAAAAGAAGAAGAAAACCCGGGGTGACCATTTCAAGTTGCGTTTCCGCAAGAACTTCCAGGCCTTGCTGGAGGAACAGGTGAACTTCCCTTGTAGAAAGAAGTAGGACCACCCAAGGCCGGCATTTCAAAGAACCATAGAATTATGGAATAATTGAGTTGGAAGGGGGCCTATAAGGCCATCAAGTCCAACCCCCTATCAGGACAAAAGCAGAGGCGCAGCCCCAAGCAGAGTCCTATGGAAGACCTCCCTGAAGAGAAGGGCTTTAAGTGGCTTTCTGAACATTAGTGGGGAAGGGGCCACGCGTTGCTCTGCTGGCCCCTGGCTCCATGAAGGAGACCCAGCTCCCCATGAATGACTTCCAGGTCTCCCTAGGAGTAGCGACACAGAGGAGCGCAGCCTGGAAGGGTCTGGTGGGTCAGGCAGATGACACTGGGGAGAGACACTCCGAGGAGCAGTGTGGTCCCAGACCATGGAGGGCTTTATACAGGAGTGTCAAAACCTTGAACCCTATCAGGGACTCAATGGGTAAACATCGTTTGTGGCTTCAGATGAGCTGTTTCTTAGATCTGTGTTTTTACTTCACCTTGTTTGTCCTAAAAGCGGGCGGGGGGGGGGAGAGAAACGGTTAGCTTATCTTCCTACAGCTTGAACACAGCAACCTGGTAAATATTTGCGTGCATAGATATATTTTCCATGTTGCCTCCCAGTCGCTGGTCCCAGAGATGAGGGAGGGAGGGAAAGGAGGGCTTTTCCAGCCTCTGGGGTCAAGGTCCTGGGCAGAAAGCCACAAAGATACAGAGGAGGGATCCATATTTGCAGGTGGAAGTGACCTTAAAATGACACACCATAGGATGAGGCCGGAGTTCTCAGCTGAGTCTTTCCCCATCATTGTCTTGGACTCCCAGCAGAACCTGAACGCGAGTGAAGGGCCCAACTACCTGACAGCGTGCGCGCCGCCATCTAACCTTCCCCAGCGTCACTTCTGCACGGTCTGCGGCTTCCCGTCGAACTACACGTGTGTCTCCTGTGGGGCCCGCTATTGCTGCGTCAAATGCTTGGGGACACACCAGGAAACCCGGTAAGGCCGACTGACAGACCGTTGGCTCCACCAGATGACCTAGGGTGATCAGGAATCTTTTCCAGGGGAACAGGCAGAGAACTCTCCATATTGATAACTGAGACTCACTATAGACAGAAGAGTTTTAAAATGTTTCTACTACTAACGTTTGTGGGCTTCTTTCTTTTTTTGACACAGAGGTAAACAGGAGATCTAACACAGGTCTCTCATAAGACCTGTGTTAGTCGTAAAAACAAAGAGACCGGATAGGATTTCACAGAATAACACAGTTGACACTGAAGCTAGAACAATAATTTACTGTGAAAAAACAGGCTGAATTAGGGACCAATTTCTTTCACACTGGAACAGCGTGTGCAAGGAAAGTGATGGGATGGGGAAGCCACCGTCTTAAGGGGAAGTACAGTGGTGCCTCACTTAATGAAGATAACCCCTTCCAGCGAAATCGCTGTAGAGCGAAATCCTCGTTAAGCGAAAATAAAAAGCCCATTGAAACGCATTAAAACCCGGTTAATGCGTTCCAATGGGCTGAAAACTCACCGTCCAGTGAAGATCCTCCATAGGGGTGGCCATTTTTGCTGCCTGTAAAGTGAGGAATCTGTCCAAAAACACAGCGGGGAGCCATTTTACACAGCCGGCAGCCACTTTGAAGCAGCTGATCAGCTGTTTTAAAATCGTCGTAATGCGAAGAATCGGTTTCTGAAGCAGGGAACCGATCGTCGCAAAGCAAATTTTTCCTATTAGAAAAGCAATTGCAAAAATGTTTGCGTATAGAAGTTTTGTCATTTAACGAAGCAATCGTTAAGCAAGGCACCACTGTACGTGCTAAAGTGTGTTGCTTATGATTTCTTCACATCGTGCTATAATTGTTTTGCAGAACAAGTAGCCTGAAATCCTAGCCTAGGGATGTATTGTACCACTTTGAATTCCCATGGCTCTAACCAACACATTCCTTAGTGAGCTAAATTTCTGACTTCAGAACCAAAGGCTGGGAGTTCAGTTCCCCACTCTGCCAGAAAAGCCAGCGTGTTTAGCCTTGGGCAAAATGCACAGTCCCAAGAGGCCTCCAGAAGAAGGGAATGGTAAGCCACTTCAGAGTAATCTCTACCTGGAAAAGCCCAAAAAGGCATTAATCAGAATTGGCTTGATAGTGCATGAGTATTATTAGGGACTTAGACTTGTCAGCTGTCATATAGGAGACTGCATTAAGGCTCTCGAGCAAAGAGAGTTGCGAGTACCTCACAAAACTACAAATCCCATAATGCTGTAGGGAGGAATCCAGGGTCGTTAAAAGGGGAATTGAACTGCTATAACTGTGCAGTGTAGGTCCATTCTCCATGTGGAATGTGCATCACTAGGCGTGTTGATCGTTTGCAGTTCCTATCAGCCCCCACAGTGTTTGTGGCGCTGCTCCGGCTGATGGGATTTGCAGCCCCACAACATCTGGACGGCCACAGATTGCTCACCCCACCGGTTCTGAACCTCCCGTTTTCTCTCTTGCCTACAGATGCCTGAAGTGGACTGTTTGAGATCGGCTCTGAAGAACCGCCACGCGTTGAATCCTAAGGAGAAGAACCGGGGCCCTATGTGTTGAGCTCAGCCCCACCTCGCACGGAAGGTGGAAGGACAGGAGTACAGAGCTGAAAGGAGGTCACGAGCCATTGCTGTTGGGCAATAAAATGTTTTATATGCTGTTGCTTTTGTTTTCAGTCACTCCTGCGTCAGTGGCAGGTGGTGCAGCTTAGCTACGTACTTCCCGTCAGTTCTTCTAAAGGTGACGGGAGGACAGCGGTCCGTTGAGGACTTGGAAAGGATGTTTGCGTGCAGATCTTTGCTGGTGTGGCAGATCCCTCTTTGAGGGATCCAAAAACACAGACCCAAAAACTTTGCAATGATTCAGGGAAAATGGAGTTACCTGGGGTTTGCTGTGGACAGGCATGAGGTCACTTGTAACGCATGCCCGAGTTCCGGCAGTGAAGAAGGCCAGTTAGGGATCATTAAAAAGGAGATTGAAAGTATAGTGGTGCCTCGCAAGACGGGCACTCTGTTTAACGACGAATCTGCATTACGACGAGGTTTTTGCGATCGCAAAACGACATTTTGAATGGGGGAATTTCGCTGCGTGATGATCGGTTCCCTGTTTCGGGAACCGATTTTCGCTTCCCAACGATCAAAACAGCTGATCGCCAGGTTTTCAAAATGGCCGCCGGGTGCTCCAAATGGCTCCCCGCTGTGTTTAGGAGCCATTTTTCGCTGCACAGGCACCCGAAAATGGCCGCCCGTATGGATGATCTTCGCTGGACAGTGAGTTCTTAGCCGATTGAAATGCATTAACCAGGTTTTAATGCGTTTCAATGGCTTTTTTATTTTCAATGGCTTTTTTATTTTCACTTTACGACGTTTTCGTTCTACAGCAGTTTCGCTGGGACGAATTAACGTCGTAATGCGAGGCACCACTGTAAAACAGCCAACATTCTAATGCCATTGTACAAAATGCTGGTAAGGCCACACCTGGAGTATTGCATACAGTTCTGTTCGCCGCATCTCCAAAAAGACATCGTGGAACTGGAAAAGGTGCAGAAGAGAGTGACTCAAATGAGGACTGGGCTGGGGTACCTCCCTTATAGGGAAAGGCTACAGCATTGGAGGCTCTTTAGTCTAGAGAAAAGGCGCCTGAGCGGGGACCCAATGGAGACGTACAAAATTATGCAGTGGATGGATAAAGTGGATAGAGGGAAGCTCTTTTCCCTCTCATGCAATACCAGAACCAGGGCACCTCCACTCCAATTGAGTGTTGGGAGAAGGAGAACAGACAAAATATTTCTTTCCCCAGCGTGTTGTTAGTCGGTGGAACTCCTTGCCACAGGATCTGGTAAGTGCATCTAGCCAAGATGCCTTAGAAAGGGGATTGGACAGATTTCTGGAGGAAAAGTCCCTTGCAGGTGACAAGCCATGATGGGCATGCATCATCTCGAGGCTTCAAAGGAAGGGACCTCCAAAGGCCAGATGCAGGGGAGAGGGATCAGGAGACAGAGATCTTGTGATCTTGTGTGTTCCTAGTGGGCATCCGGTGGGGCCACCGTGAGAGACAGGAAGCTGGACTAGATGGGCCCTTGGCCTGATCCAGCAGGGCTCTTCTTAGATTTTTGTGTTTCTGTTTTTCAAATCTCAGTTTTGCTACACCTGGATCGACTTTTTCCTGGAAATGTTAAAATGAACACCTTGGACCTGTAAAAGCCATAATGAGTCAAATGTAAAACATATAAAATCCAATCAGGAGAATAACAAAGCCGCCCAATGACAAAATGGCTACAATTTCCTTTAAAAATCATTAAAAGACGGCACAGCCATTTAAACTGTTTCCCCGCCCCCTCCATTTCAGAGAGTTGAATTTCTCGTTGTAACACAAGAGTTGACAAACTGGACTCGGCACGGATAGGTCACCCAATTGAAATGTATTCAAATCCACCTGGTTTCCAATTTCCACTTTTAGTAAAAGGTGCTCATAGCTGTTCAACTTTACTCTGAGGGGCTGGACAGCACAGTGGTTCAGGCATCTGGCAGGTTAGGAGTTCAATTCCCCGTTTGTGCCTCCTCGACGAGACCTGAACTCGATGATCCATAGGTTCCCTTCCAGCTCTGCAGTTTGATGATTATGATGATGAAAATAACCATAGATCTAAGCAGAGCCAAATCGTTACGTCTAAAGCGAGAGCAGCGTTCAGTGTATCTAGTCAAACAATGATGTTGGACCTCTAAATATGCGAAAAGAGGAGATATAAATAAATCCATTAAATGTAAATCTTCTGATAAAGAATAGCCATAAGGTTTCTGGTGCTTAGGAGCTCACATAGAAGCTGCCAAGGTCGTGTCTAACCTCTATCTTGCTAAGGTAGAGGCAGCTAGGAAAGCCTATTTCACTGTCCGGATAAGCGAAGCATCCAATCAGCAGGCGGAACTTTTCTGTCTAGTACGCAACCTATCCAGAATTGGCCACAACGATTGGCCTCCATCTAGCATTTCTTGTGACCAATTTGCAGCATTTTTAAAATCAGAAGTGGAGGCCATCCACCGGGATCTTGCACCCTATTTGGAAACAGTGGATTGAGCTGAGGTCCAGCGCAGCGCTGTGTCTGTTGAGAATTACAGTGGTGCCTCGCATAGCGAACGCTTCGCTATGCGATGAAACCGCACAACGAGGGGTCCCGGGCCATCGCTGGAGTGTTCGCTCAGCGATGGCCCCTATGGGCTTTTTTCGCCCAGTGATAACTGAAGGGGCCGCTGAACTAATAAATGGGCCTCTTGAGGCCTTAAAGAAACACTCATTAGGCCCATTAGAAAGAAACCAAGCTTGGCGGTGGACAACATTGGCAATTATAGGCTCGTCACCAATGTTTCTTTTCTCAGCAAGGTAGTTGAAAGGGTTGTGGCCAACCAGCTTCAGGCTCTCTTGGATGAAACCGATGCCCTAGATCCATTTCGGTCAGGCTTCAGGCCATGCCGTGGCACAGAAACAGCATTGGTTGGCCTGCTGGATGACCTACTTAGGGAGGCCCACGGGGCAAAAATGTCCTTGCTCGTTCTCCTTGATATCTCAGCCACCTTTAATACCGTCGACCTCCTGGGGAGGCTCTCCAAGTAGGGGATTGGTGGCCTTGCTCTCGCTTGGCTTCCTGGGGAGGCTCTCCGAGTAGGGGATTGGTGGCCTTGCTCTTGCTTGGCTCCGGTCCTTCTTGGAGGGCCGTCCCCAGAGAGTTCAGCTTGGGGAGAATGTATCGGCCTCGTGGGCCCTCAGTTGTGGGGTTCCTCAGGGTTCGATCATCTCCCCAAGGCTGTTTAACATCTATATGCTGTTGGGGGGGGGTGTCATCTGGGGATGTGGAGCTTCATGTCACCAATATATTAAAATGGTAACCAAGATCAATATTAAAACACAAAAGCAGACTTTTAGTATCACTACGGCTTCATATAAGTGGTATTTACAATTTTAATGCTGCTTCCTTGTAGTTTCTGTGGCTTGAATTGGAGAATCAGAAGCCGGTGCTTGGTAACCTCAACGAGTGTCTATCCACCACGGTTTTTCTTCCTGTTGATAGCATGCCAGAAACTGGTGTCAGAGGGCTGTGGAGAGTTATATTAGCCACACACCTTTCTTGTACAGACTGAGGAGCAAGCCTGGACACAGGATCCATCCATGGGTCTTTGACCGGTTGGACTTAGCAGCGCAACGCACAGGAGTTCGTCATCAAATAGAAGGTTTTTTCAGAGTATCCAAAAATTAGAAATGCCTCTTCTGATGCCAGAGGCATCACCGTGCCAGCTGCACGCTACGATGCCTTTCAGAAATGTTTGATATTTCCTGGGGGCAAATTGACAGATAGAGAGAAAAGGCACCACCAGGCAAGGTGTGGCGAGCTTTATAGGCAGATTTATGGGGCCAATCCAGGTGTAAATGTAAGCAGTGGTTTTGAGGAATGTTTCTGGGGCAATTGCACAGGACACACCTAAAGGAACCAGGAATCAGAAGGAGACATCCAAGTTGGCACCAGATCCCTGGTGCCATGGCCCTTGACGTCCGGCTTCGGAAGAAAAACTTGGCGCTGGTCATCTGCGTGGTCCTTCTGGCCAGCCTCACTCTTTCACTGTTACAGAGGACCAAGAGGTGAGTGAGACCATCCCATTTCTTTGGGGAACAGGTGCGCAAGGGAACGTCGGAAGCTGCTTCATGCCCGATCGGAAGGTGGCTCTGTCTGGTTCCTTCTCGTCGTCAGCCGGCAGCAAAATCTCCACCAAATGCGCGGGATGAACCGGGACCATCTGCATCCGAAGGACGTGGTCCTGCCACGGAACTGTGACTCTGGAGAGGAAGAAGAGGCCACTTGTAGGTGGAAAGGATCAGGGGCATGCACGAAAAAGGCCGGGCTTTATTGTTTGAAGGAGGTGGTGGGGCACACGCCGTGGCTCCAAGGATACACACACAGCCCTTAACAGCACCCTACGGGGATGCTGTGGGGCTGATCCACCACCTTAGCTCATCTTCAGTGGTTTTGAGACCACTGTTTTCCTTCTGCTACTAGCTCTTTGTACAGTTGCCTCCTAAGTAGATCTAAGGATCTCTCTCTGTGCGTGTCTTAAATGACCAAATAGATTTGTGTCTTTAAATTGGTCCTCTGAAAGCATTATCTGGGCCCACTAATAATTGCACCTGAGCAGATATATTCACTGGACTTTTCTGCTAAGCTAAAGCTGTGTGTGTGTGTGTGTGTGTGTGTGTGTGTGTGTGTGTGTGTGTGTGTGTGTGTGTGTGAGAGAGAGAGAGAGAGAGAGAGAGAGAGA